CGCATGGAAGCGAATCTACAGCTGGCAAAAAAGAGGGCCGAAATTGAGGCAGCCGCCGATAAACCATCGTTCCAACTAATGAAATCAATTAGACCTCAAGGAACGTCTACGACATTGGACAGAGCTACCGAGGAAAGCCTTGTGGCATGGGTGAATGAGCTGCGAAGTGAAGGGATCCCAGTCAGCAACATGTTGCTACAAACACGAGCACGTGAGGTTGCGCAAGCCATAGGACTCACGGATGACCAATTTCGAGCAAGTACAACTTGGGTGAAGGCGTTCATGAATCGATGGCAGCTGTCCCTACGAACATAAAGTCGTGCAGGCCAATTCAGCACTGAAGAAGGGGAGGCTGTACTTACCGCATTTGCATCCAAGGTCCGCAATATCGTGGAATGCAACGGCGTTGAGGTCATCTACAATGCCGATCAGACTGGCATGAACTACGAGTACTTACCCAAGAGGACAATCGATGCCACCGGAACAAGAACGGTGTGGGTCAAGAGTTCTGGCCACGACAAAGACCGCCTAACAGCTATGGTGTTAGCTGACTCAAATGGAATCAAATACCCAATTTTTTGGTCCTCAAGACAGCAGCTTCGAAGATCAAGGCGGTAGTCCAAGACAACTTGCTCAACCGCAACGGCTTCGGCATCCGCGTGTGGCAAGAGATCAAAGAGCTCCACGAACGCCACCCATCACGACTTTTCGAAAATCCTACTGCATGGTGGAACTCAACCATTTCTTTGCAATTCCTTACTTACCACTTTGGACACCGGCGGGGGACTTCATGCAAACCCGTACTTCTACTTTGGGACGACTTCAGTGCACACTTCACGGATGAAGTCATGGCGCTGGCTACGGAACTCAACGTTATCCTCGAGAAGATTCCACCAAGGCTTACCTGGGTTTGCCAACCAGCCGACGTTGCCTGGATAAGACCACTCAAGTCAGCTCTGCGTCACCGCTGGGTCGAGTATCTACGTACCGAACTCGCACGCAACTCAACCGGCACCTTCAAGCTGACACCGACCGACCGCTACGACTTGGTGGAATGGGTCAACACTGCATGGGACAACCTACCAAAAACAACAATTGTGAGTGGGTTTCAAAAGTGCAAACTTATTGACGGTCCTGTTGATGACGAAGATTTCCTCGACAATATGCTCGAAGCTGAAAGTGCTGCTATTATGGATGCCCTGGAACAAACCGGTGCCATTGAGCTTACTGTGCTTGCACCTGAAGCTGATGTTGAGATCGACCTAGTCGAATTGTGGGGATAGTGTGTGTATTAGATATGTTTTCGTACCTTGAAATGGCTTGCTACTGCCCATCGTGCGAGTGCCATGAGTTCAGGGACTCATCGGAATACCAAGGCCGAGGCGCACCGCCGGTATCCGGCCCAGCAAATACCTAAGGGCGGGGCCCGAGGGCGGTCCCGAAGGCTACCGGGAACGCGGGCCTTTTGACAACGCAACCCCATAGCGGCCGACTTCCGTACAGTAATGCCAATTCACAATCACGACGACAGACAGCAACCAATATCCGGATTTTATCCGGATGATGCCCACGGTTCAAATCGGAAAGTGAATGACAATTCAATGATGAATTTTGTTCTATCTTTGCTTCATCTATTCCACCATCTATTTCCTAGACTTTGAAAACGTATAAACATTCTTGAAAGTAGTTCACTGTTAAACTGCATGACTTGAAG